GCGCTTCGTGGTTATTCTGTCGCCTTGTGGCAAGTTGGCAACAAGGATAAGGCAGTCGCTATGGCCAGGAAGTCGATGGAAGTAGAAATGGATGCAGCAAGTATTATAGGTGGACAAGCTCTTCTTGTGAAGATGATCTACTCAAACTCAGGCTGCTCACCTGCTTTAGTTGAAATGCAAACGGCTCCCGTCGAAATGTTTTCAGACGCGAAGTTCTGCTTAAGTGCTCTTGCCATAGCTGCGGTGTCTGGAAATGAAAAGACGTTATTCAGCCTTATGAGTTCCTGTGAAGATTCTCTTGGACACGAAGGGCTTATACAAGCACATTTGCTCGCTGCCGCTTCTAAGCAGGTCTTGTTTCTTTCCATTCTTATGCGCGCAGTTATCTATCTATGGAGTTTGGGTACAAGACAAAAAGGGATAAAGCCTCTTCATTGTGTTAGAAGGATGCATGATATTACCCCGTTGGAAATCAAAACTTTCACTAGCTGGGTGGTGTGGGATTTGGAAATGTAAGATGGTAGCTTGGGATTGTGTGCTGAAGCGATGAAGCCTCGTGTGCCTGGGATGGAACAATACCTCACGCTAGGGATGCCCATTGACCTTCAAAGAACTTGTGATTTGAGGGGAAAAATTTAACAGGAACTCTTCTCATGAGGTTATACAATATTCCACTAGGACTATTCACGAGAAGGTGACAATTTCGATCAAACACAGCAGGATAATGCTGGGGACGGAAATGGAAGCGATGATGAAAATTTTGCAATGTGTTTTACGAGACGTACTAGCAAATCAGCAATTGCCAGATTTGGAGGGATATCATAGTAGACGGTTAGATTCTGTGGTGTGTTGAAGCTCTTTCCTGGTCTCGTTTTTGGTTAAGTACAGGCAGGACATTATGAACTTATTGTGTTGTTGATATTCATAACCTTGCCACAGATATCAGGCAACCTGGGTTTGATAGCTGCTATACGGGTTCTGCAGAAGGCATTGCACTTGTTTCCTCACAGTGTTTACTTGCGGTAAATTCTTCACCCACATCCAATGTTCCTGATGTATCTGAAATGCTGTTTTATTCAAAATCGAGATGAACAGAATAACTAGCCTTTCAAATATAATTTTCAGGTAGTTCAGGATGCGTGGCCACTCAAATGTTTCCTTTACTGTCATTGATGGAAAATATTTTTGTCTGTCGTCAGGGCTAGGCTGGGGGAGTTGCTACTGGAGAGCAGCCTTGGGAAGAAGGCCGATCTAGTGCCTAGATGCTGCCAGATTTCCTACACGTTTGTTCAGCGGAACGCAAATTATGGAGACCTTTGTAGTGCCCTAGCTGCTGCAGCTTGTGCCTGTGCTCTTTGTGGACAACTGGAGTCCTTCAATTTTTCCGCGTGTAAAGGACAAGTTTCACCTGCGAGCTCTTTGATTCGCCAGCTGCAAAGGTATCGGAGAGAGATGAGTTGGTTACATTGTGCGTTTCTTGAGTTCTGTACTTTCACTAGTAAGTGGTGGAAATGCCCTGCGCTGATGAAGGAGCTTCTTAATCTCAGAAGGTTTTGGGTCGTCCTTTTGAATCGTCTTACCTTCGTCCCAGCTATCTCTCTGATATCCTCTGATCTCATGTACACAGGTCCTGGTTGAAGGTCCTGTGGTTGCGTGGTTGGTATGCTTTGGTCGATCTCTTCTAGGATGTGCAAGCTGCAGCATAATCGTTGTCGCTTGGGCTACTACATCTAAAACATCCACAGTATCGGTTATATCCAAGTTTTTTGTCTCTGGTAAAACTTCTGAAGCTCATTTGTAATTTTGCAGATGGGTTCACAAAGAACCATGGAATGTGGAGGCACATTATCTCTTAGTTCTCAACTTAATGCAGCAAGCAAAGGCTCAAAATTTTCCAGCCAACCTTTGTCAAGCTATACGACGTCTGGCAGCAACAACAGTTTCTTCATTGCCAACGAAAAATGGCGATCTGAGCTTTGAAAGACGTTTGCACGTTGTACTACTCGTGATTATATCTGAATGTGCAATGCATATCGCAGATGACACTTCAGTTAATCAGCTAGAAGAAAATCTCTCTGAGCTCAAACTTTTCTCTAGTGTATCTTTGACAGCCGCACTGCAGCTGGCTCGCGTGTATGGTTTCAAACAAGATTACCGCTGCTTACAATATGAGCTGAACAACGCTCGACGTCTGCTTAGTGCAGATGACATTCCGGGTTGGTTCACGGTTGTCGAGTTGCAACAGCGGTACAAATTCCAGGAAGTAAATTCTTCTATTGTAGCTTGCAAAGAAGCAATTCTGAGGAGGTGCCTTGATGAGCAGAAAGAGTGGATCGGACTTCTGAACCTTGTTCGTGTAAAGGGGATCGTACAAGATGGTGACTTAATGTCCGCCCAAAGGGTAGCAGCGGAAGCATTATCTCTGTCAACAGAGAATTCTGTTCTTCACCTTATACATGGTACAAACAAAGTGCTGGATAACCTTGGTTCTCTTCGGGTTTCGTTGATTATTTACGAAGATGCATGACCAACTCTTAATCTGCCGTCTGCTTCAGGTACATTGTGCGCTATACTGGTGTCCTCGGGAACAAATGTCGAGATGCTATCTTCTGCAGTCAGAAGCTTGACAAAGGCCATGAACTACTCGAGACCCGGTGCTCTACCGTTTGCCTGTACAATGCTATGCCAATCGCAGAATGCGAAAGGTCACTCCAAGAGTAATGACCTCTCAAAGTGGGAACGCAAGTTGTGGTCAGAGTGGGAAGCTTGGCCTGCAGGCAAGTAGATCACCTCAATCGATGGAGCCTCATGCAATTCTGTGGTGCGGAATGTCCTGTTAACTGATGGTTTTTGGTTGTTATTTCTTATTTTTGATGCAGAATCCAGGCCTGCAGAGTTGTACTTTCAGATGGGATTGCTAGCGAGGAAGGCCCAAGTTACCTTATTGGGCCCGGCCGGCGCTACAGAACCGTCGTGGACTGTTCGGGCGTGGATACAAAGGGCTGTACATTTGAAACCGGACTCTCTAGCGTACTGGTCAAATCTAGAACCTCAGTAATGACACGGATTGCTCTTTTTGCAAACCCTTTTTGGAATGTGTACTGGTCACAAGAGACCTCCAGGCAGGTGTTACAGAAATAGTTCATTTAGGTCTTAGCTGCAGAGAAGTCCGTTTGAAAGACTGAAGCTCTTCCGATAGCCCGCCAACGGACTTGTACAATGTCTCGCTTCTTTAGGGTGAAGGGATGAACCAGTGAGTGTCTAGCAACAAAGTCAAGTAGGACTTGAATGTACATAAGACTCAGCATGGGAATGCAACCCGATTCACGAAAGGATCTAGTTGTGAATATTTCAACTTGAGCTCTTTCCACGGCATTTCAAGGTTTTGTCCTTCCCTGGTATTATATGATCTTCTGAATATCTTGTCTTGTCTTGCGCTGTCACCAGAAAAGCATCACTGCCTTGACGACATGTACTTATCTGAGTAACAAGCCAAATCCGAACGTCTGATCTTACCAATTTACCGGAGATCTTGACATATTATTGTTAATATTGTCACAAAGGTCAAGATCAGCCTTTTGTTTCTAGCATGCTCATTTGCAATGTTCAAGATATAGATTCATATGGTTCACATATACCACGCTGCATTGTTGGAGGTCAGATGATGTCATACGACCTCCAATTGGCCGGGCCCGTGGACATTAGGCATGTTCTTTGGAGAGAAAACTGGTATACTCTTGCATCTCGTATCATCATAGCTTGAGCAAGTCTTTACATGTCTCAATAGGATCAGGTTATTGTTGTTGATTTGGTGTTCACCAACCCAACGGTATAACCTTACATCTCGTACCACAGGGTGAGCAAATCTTACATGTATGAGAGGATTGAGTCATCCTGGACGTATACCCAATGGTATATTCTTACATTTAGTTTGAGCATATTATATTACATAACATTGTATCAGGTTATTGTGATTTGGTGGTGTTGCTACCCACTTCATTATGGCTTATAGCGCTTTTGGCTAGTTGGCACTACACCCCTTGTGTAAATCATCTCAATGATGTCCCCAAGGGAGGGCATTTCCTTTACAAGTACTATTATGACATTTGAAAGAGATGATGTGTCTCTTTCAAGAGCTCCCGTCCTGTTACTCTTTGGTTACCAATTGGATTACATGCTTACCGTCTACGTTGATAGACCAACAATTTCAATGTGCTCCACACACTCTCTTAGCCCACCGATTGGATTAGATGCCTATAGTTTACTTTGATGGACCAATAGTTTCAACGTGCTCTACACTCTCTTTTAGTGAATTCAGTAATTCATTGTAATACTAGGGCTCGTCTATGCTCTTGTTCCAACAAGGGTGTAAACTCGTGGATCTTTGCTCGTATATGTATCAAGTTTTCATACTCACACAAGCAACCTTTTCTACAATGATGAGGTTCCCCTTGGCTTGGTCCAACCATATGCATCTTCATTACTCACATGTGAGTGTGGTACTACTTTAGATTTAAACGAATTATATATGATTTCCTTGCCCATTCGAAGTGCATAGTATAGCTACCCTTGACTTCGACATATGCATGAGAGAGTGCATGAGAGCTTAGAATGTAGGCGATGAGATATTACTTTCTTTATCATATTTTGTAACCTATTTTAGTCATAGTGTATCCATTGCTCTACAAAGAGCATTCATAATGCAATCTAGAGAGTAATCACGTTAAATGATGCTTCTTCATATGCTCTAGTAATATGTAAACTATTTGATCTAGATAGTTTGGATATCTTAGGTGTACTAAGACATTTCCCATTGCGATACTATTGGGCCTAGCCCCATCCTACCCCCTTGGTTTCATCCCTTTCCGACTTGATGGGGTCTTTCCATATTTTTTGCTATATTACTAGGTTTTAGTTTCACTTCATTAGGGGTAATTGAAGTGTTGCATAGGTATTAACATGTGCTAGTACACAAGTATGTGAAGATGTGTATCTCACATCCATTGGCATTGGTCGAACCATTGCCAAAAGGATTTTCAGTCCTTTGCTCTAACCACCTGAGCTATCTAAACGAAAAGAAAAAAGGACCTATGTAAAATTCTAATTTGTTGGTTATTCAAAAATTACTGAGTACAAACGCATATATGGGCCATCGGATACCAACTTCTGATTTTCAAGGATATTTATATGGATTTAGAAATGAAATGGCTCATGCGAAAGAACTGGGCGATGAATATGCCCTCAACTCAGCCTTGGTGTAAACCTAGTGTAGCCCCCCGAAGTAGGCAAGTAAGGCGACTCGTTTAATTCGGTTATGGAGCAAGCTGTCCCTTTGAGACCCATATCTAAATTGGATCCTCTGGGGCTAACGGATAAATCGTGGGCGTCGACGGACGATACCCGGTCAAACTATCAAAATAGAATTACCTATTCCACTCCCTTGGTAATTTCTTAAATAGTTCTTATAATTTTGGGCTATATTGTTCAATACTCATATGAAAAGTTTGGGCTTATATGAAGCTATGGGATGGAAGATGGATACCTTTATTTGATAATGTAAGGTTTTATAATGATGGATGCCATGGAGCATAATTATTCATGGTTATTTGCTATTTTAGGTATTTTATATGCATAGCATTACATTGTGCTCTAGACTCTACAGTTGAGAGTAATATTGCTTTGATTGGTGACTGTTACTTTGCACCCATGGTTACCCCACTCACGAGTCTCATGTATGCAACATTAGAATTGCAGTAGACATTAGAATTGGAATATAAAATATAATGGTTTATAGAAAGATTAGCTCCCCATTTATTTTGGCCCTTGGAACTTTTGCTTCTTATTGTTGTAGATTGTTTCCCATGGTGTTCTATATTCCCTGCGTCCCTTCATTCGTCATTCATGCTACGTGGTTTACACAAACCTCACACCGTAAAAGGAACCCTTGAAAGTCGTGGCAGTGTAAAAGAGAGGAGGAATCAATTTTCTTTGGCATGGACCTTATCTCCTTGGAGGAGTTCACTGAAACGGCGTTCCCAACAATGAACACACTAAATGTCAACCACTGGAAGCACGTTAAGGGCAGGCGCCATTGGGCCGGAGTGAGTGCCTGACCTCAACGGTGGATTATGAGCAATATACAGATTGCGCCGTGTAAATTTTTCTGGGTGTTCCAACTTCAAGCGTTGCCGTGGAGACGAGTTCTCCTTCCTAAGTACCGACCATACTCACTGGAGGCATAACAGATTTACGGTTCGCACCAGACTTTTGCGGCGGGATGGCGCCAACTCGCCAAGCGCCGGTCTCATGAAGGCGCCAGCCTCACAGTTGGGACGCATGCTTGTTCAGGTTTTGGAACAAGCGCCCGCGGGCTGCCCAGTCAGGACTCATGATTCATGAGCCAGCGGATGGTTGGGAGTTGTTCGCGGCGCACGCAGTCTTCGGCGTCCGAAGACTCTTGCTGGCCACCACCAGTCTCCAGTTTGTGTGCCTCAGGGTTCAATCCCGAGCCCGATCGGGACGTCTCTGGTGGGAATACGCAAATATGAGACCGCCTAGGCTTCCGACAGTGCATATTATATTTTGATCCTTGCAGAACATTCTTCAAGGATTAAGATTCTTCACTTGTATATTTCAAGAACCAAGTAAATATAGCAAACAGGATGGGAAGACTCCATCAAGTCTTACATGGATGAAACATTATATTATAGAGGGTATATTATAGATTAGTAAGCATTAATCAATCATTTACCCAACTACTTATTTTGAAGAGAACTCTCAATTTATTTCTAATACAAGACTGACAGAGATGCTATGAAATTAATGAATTAATGTTTCCTGGAATTTTTTACAATACACTAATGATTCAAGGTTTATTATAATTTTTGTATGATATAAAAAAATTAATTTTTTTGGAGTATTTTAAAAATGTTGAAATAATACTCAATTATAAAAGATTCAGTTTCAATAAAATAATGCTTGTGAACAATTTGAGTAGCGTTTTCTGTTATGATTTAGTCTTAATAGATTTAAATTCATTAATTTTTTTCCAAAAACTAAAAAAAAGATAAATTTTTTATGATTTTGTTAAATAAAAATAATTGAAACTATAGAATATAATATAACTAATAGTAACCACTTAAAATAAAAGATCTATAAGCATTATGTGTATCTAATAAATAAAAATATACTATAAGGATAATACAATAAACAAAAAAATATTTTTACAATATAAAACTGATGAAGTTACTTATTAAATAAAAAATAATATATTTATATTTAGTTATGAAGATGCTTTAATTGAATAGTTAATTTTTACAAGAAGATAAATTGGATTCATTTAACATTATTGTCTCATGTGAAACTATGAAAGTTCATGCAACGCTATTGAGCATCAAAAATATATTTTGGCTGCCATAGTCTAAACTATGGTCTTGTAACATGCTATGTAACAAGAACACGTTGTCGCAAAGGACAATTCTTCGCTCTGAGAACGCCTGAGCGCCTGTCTGTAGAAGAACCCTCTAGAACCTCGTGTGAGTTGTCAATCTCTTCTTCTTCTCCTTAGCACTCCACATTACAACCGGTAAAACTTCAGCGGATGAAGATCATGATATCCAATGATTCGATCGATAACTTTCGCTCAAACTTTACAGAAAATTGCTTCTCGACCCTTACTATCATTCATAAAAGTTTCAGATGTTTTTGCCATCTAGATCTCTCAAAACAATTGGTGATTTACCCACTGTATTACAAGGTGATATGCAGACCCCTGTGTACAAAACCCATCACACATCTCAATCCTTAACTCCAATTGCTTTCAAATTTCATGAGAAGGTCACTCATTATCCGAACTTCAACTCTGGAAAGTTTTATTGACAGAAATTTCTGATATCAAAAGATATGATTGATGTACTAAGTTTGTGATAGTCAGTGCAATCCTGCAACTCTGACTGCTTGCACAAACTTCAACCTATCACTCCATACTCAAAACTCGTCCAATCGAGTCAAAACCTCGATCAAAACACAAGCCCAAGTCGTGAACTATATTTTAGTAGACTCAGGTATCCCAAAACCCTTGTCAGATTCTCACAAACACTCCAAATACACTCAAAGGTTTAAATTTATCTCTCTAACTTTGAATCACCGTTTCAGAGGGACAAATCCTTCAAATCCATCCATTCTTGAGCCCACGTTGTAGCCCGTCCCGTCAACTTTCTAACGCTATCCTCTGATTTTCGAATCTCTTCCTGGAAGATCTCCAAAATCCCTAAAAACCTCAAAAAGTTGCCCTAGTGCCCTCATTGATCAAAACTCCTAGACCAATGGGAATGGAGAATGTTATTTTGACCTCTCGTGTGGCCAAATTAGCTCCATTGAAACTTAGAGCTTTACAACTATCCTCAACACTCTACTTAGGCATCCTATCCTATACACAATATGAGTTGTCACTAATAAGAGTTAAAATGACAACTTGAAACCAGCTAAGTATACCCAAAAGCGATCATGATGAAGACACTGGATGTTGATCACAAATGGACTCGACAATGGTACATCTTGAGGATCATGTTGTCCCCTATCCACGTCCTACGTCGACTCCACTTCAATCAGATAAGCTCCTTAGTCAGCAAGGTGATGTGTCTAGATTTCCCCAGCTCTTTATAGCCTTGCAATGCCGTCGGTTATCCTAGCCTAAAATATCACAGTCATGACAACAACTCTGAAGATGACACATGTCATCATCTTCTCATAGTAGCCGCGTCACAACACGACAACGTGATATCCCCTATCTAGGCGGTAGGAGATATCACTCTCTTTAGTATGGTAGGCTTTTGCACACTTTCTCACGAACATGTACTCTCATAAACATATCGAAGTCGATGTTCATAGCTCCATATAATTCCAAAGCTAGAGAAACAAAGAGATGTACTCTCTTCATAAATCTATACTTAGAGATCTTGGCTGCTTCCGCTCCACTCACTGTCCATAGAGGAAGATGGATAATCACCCCCTCCAAAACTGTATCATGTGTAGGATATGTAACCATAACGTCTGTAACAGTAATCTGATCCTCTCGAACCAAGTGTAGGTCTTCCCTAACCCAAATCCACTGCAAGACATACCAACGCATGACGTGAGAGGATGGAGGTATCCACCCTCTCACACCATAACAAACTCGTTTGACCCTAATATGGTATGGATTACAGATAGGCGACTAACGATGGGGCATTGTAGCACTCGACCTCATGATCTTAGGCCCATGAAGAGCAAATTATTTTATGGATTAGATGGCTACATGATGTTAGAGGGACCTAACTGCCAATTAGGGGGGCGATTGTGGTACACTTGTGTTAATGTATGACGATCTTTGTAACGTGATATTTGATGTGACATTGATGTATGTTGTGATGTGATATGTATGTGCACGGCAACTATCATGACTTATGTAGCGGCATCCCTAGTTAGTAGGTACCCGCATGCATGAGCAAATACAACAGTTAGATCCGATTGTGCAATTAGCGCCAATCGTACTAGAACTGATGTGAGTAGATCTAGGGCTCAAGGGATAGAGTACAAGTACACTGAAGTCATATTGTGATGAGTATATACATATAGGAAGATCGAGTACAAGTACTAAAATATGAGCGGCAGATTTATGACAAAAATTAAAAAGGTGTGTCAATACAATAAGGTTCCATTCATACTAGCAGGTTAGTAGCAAAAATTTTGCTTCGTATAGAGAATGGACATGCAACCAACATGAATGCAGCATGAAGAAAAATCGGATGCTAATGTCTGTAGATGAGAGCATATGCAAGCAGGTGCAGAGCAAACGACGAGCAATGGGCAGAAGTATTAAATCCCTAAACCCTAAAATCTTCAGCTTTGATAGTAATTGTTGGTCCGAGACGGCAAACAGTGAGTCACACATGCACTAGAGAAATCGACACAAGAGATACGTGGTTCAACTCCTTGATTCTACATCCACGAGAACACACAAATCGCTTTACTAATCTCTAGGCCCATCGACCACACCAAGACTTCACAGTTTAAGCTCTCTCTCTCATTCTCT